TTGGAGCGCCGGTTGTAGAGGACGCGCGTCAGCCACGAGTGCACGGCCCGGGGGCTGTAACTGTGCCCGTCCCCCAGCAGCTCCTCGTCGATCCTGGAATGGCAGAAAAATGGGGGATATCAGCCCAAAAAAATGATATCAAAATATGGGATATCAGCCCCAAAAAATGACACCAAAATAGGAGATATCAGCCCAAAAATGATACCAAAATATGGGATATCAGCACAAGAAACGCCATGGAAATGGGGGATACCGGCCCAAAAATGACACAGAAATGGGGGATATCAGCCCAAAAATGTCACCAAAATATGGGATTCCAGCCCAAAAATGACACCACAGAAATGGGGGATATCAGCACAAAAATGACACAGAAATGGGGGATTGCAGCCCAAAAATGATACCAAAATATGGGATTGCAGCCCAAAAATGACACCACAGAAACGTGGGATTGCAGCCCAAAAATGACCCCGCACTCCAATCCCCATCAATAGCCCCAAACTCCAATCCCCATCAAAACCCCAAACCCCGCACTCCAATCCCCAAAAACCCCCTAAACTCCAAACCCCACAATTCCCAGCCATCCTTACACCATCTGCTCCAGGACAGGAATCCCATGAATACCGCATGCCCCAAACCCCAAATCCCACCCTCCAGCCCCCCAATTCCCAGGAATTCCCTGGAATCCCTTACACCATCTGCTCCAGGAGAGGAACCCCATCAATCCCCCAAACCCCACAATTCCCGGGAATTCCCATCCATCCCTTACACCATCTGCTCCAGCACAGGGACCCCATAAATCCCCCAAACCCCACAATTCCCGGAATTCCTTACACCATCTGCTCCAGGACAGGAACCCCATCAATCCCCCAATTCCCAGAAATTCCCCAGAATTCCCGGAATTCCTTACACCATCTGCTCCAGGACAGGAACCCCATCAATCCCCCAATTCCCAGGAATTCCCCACAATTCCCGGAATTCCTTACACCACCTGCTCCAGGACATCAATCCCCCAAACCCCACCCTCCAGTCCCCCAATTCCCAGGAATTCCTCACAATTCCCGGAATTCCTTACACCATCTGCTCCAGGAGCTGCCGCAGGTGCTGGAAATCGGCCACGTCCCCCGAGGCTCCGAGCACGGTGGAGTTGTTGACTTTGAGCAGGCGGGAGATGCCGCGGAACCGCGCCAGGGAGCCGTAGGATCCCACCATATCCGCGGCCAGCAGCACCCCGCCCGAGAACTTGAGCCCCAGAACCGATGTTCC